TCCGCCCCCACCCCCACCCGCCCGGGTCAGCGCACCCGCGAGCCCTGGGCCAGCGCGGGGCAGCAGTCGGGTGGGATCCACTTCAAACAAGAGTTCGATGCTCACATCTGTCAGGGTCAACAGGGATTGTTTTAATGGCTTCCTTCAGCTTGACCAATCTATAAGCAATTAGGGGCAGAGAGCAAAGCTTTGCTATGTCCATTCCCCCAAAAAGCTCGGTGCCGATGGCCGTGTCCCCTTTCCTGGCAGCTGCCGCCGCCGCGGCCCCCCCATGCTGTTGGGAATGAGCGCCTGTGGCAGGAAGGCGCTGACCCTCCTCAGCAGCGTCTTCGCCGTCTGTGGCCTCGGCCTCCTGGGCATCTCCGTCAGCACCGACTACTGGCTCTACCTGGAGGAGGGCATCGTCCAGCCACAGAACCAGACGGCGGAAATCAAGCTATCGCTGCACTCGGGGCTCTGGAGGGTCTGCTTTCTGGCAGGGATGGCCCCCTTCCTCCCAAAAAACATCCCCTGCTGAGGTGGTTTGCTGCGGGTCAGCATCGTATCATGGGAAAGGGCTGGGGGAATGGGATTTTTAGAGGTTGTGCCCGTCTTTGTTCCCAAACTTAGGCACAACCTGAGTAATGACATCACCCCGTGTCAGATTTAATAGTCAGATGGATAAAAGTGCCGTTGCAGGCAGGCTGCGGCGGAGGTTTCTGCTGCCTTGCCAGACCCCGCTGCCCCATCCCACCCTGTCCCAGCATCACAGCTACAGTGCCTTGGGCAGCAGCTCAAAACTTTCTCTTTTGTCCCTGAACATTTAGATTCAGGTCAGTTGGACCGTTCCCTCTGTCTGTGCCAAGTGCGATGAAGCGACTTGGCTGCAGGGATGGAGTTGAACAAAACCCAAAGGAATGGGCTGCCTTGCCAGACCCCGCTGCCCCATCCCACCCTGTCCCAGCATCACAGCTACAGTGCCTTGGGCAGCAGCTCAAAACTTTCTCTTTTGTCCCTGAACATTTAGATTCAGGTCAGTTGGACCGTTCCCTCTGTCTGTGCCAAGTGCGATGAAGCGACTTGGCTGCAGGGATGGAGTTGAACAAAACCCAAAGGAATGGGAATCTCAAAGTGACCGATCTGAAATGTCACAGTTTCAAACGTTGCTTTGAAAAAGTCAGGGGAGTGAGGAGCTCCGACACAGCTCCTGGGGTGACCCCAAACCCTCCGGCTTCGGGGTTCAGGTTTTTGTATAGAAGGGAATCCTCTTGCACAATTGAGATCATAGCTAAGAGGTCTCTTTCTTCAGCCCCAAACGCTGAAGCTGCACATAAAGCAAGGTTGGTTTTATGCACGCACTGAAATTAATTTTAAAGCCACTTTCTCCCCCACCAAAAATAACAGACACACACACAGTGTGGTTGTGACTCGGTCTGTGTCTGCTGCAGGGGAGGAGCGTGGCCGGTGCTTCACTATCGAGTACGTCATGCCCATGAACATCCAGCTGACGTCTGAATCCACAGTCAACGTCCTGAGTAAGTGGTTTGGTGGGGTCTTACTCTTTGTGCCCTGCAAAGTACCAAAGGCTCACCATGGATCCCCCTCAACAAATCCACTTTGTGTCCTTGCTGAAGAAGCTCCTAGATCCTTGACAGTGCTAACATGCATGAATGCTGCTACATCTTTTACTCTATGGATTACCCAATATGCTCCTAAACATTTGGGGACATCCCTTTCTGATGGTAAGGATGCTCACAGAGGCTCTAAGCCATACGATTCCCTATGACTGGCTATTCAGCGCTGATGCTTGTGGAAGTGTTTGGCTTTACAGCTTCCTCTCCACAATTTGCAGCTGTATTTATTCTGTGGCAGTCAATTTTACACATTACACAGTGTGATGAATTAAGGATGGAGTGTCACAGCTCTCACAATGAATTCTGCAGTCATTTCTGATTTAGTAAATAGAAGGGTTCAGCAAACAGTTTTGAAGTGAAGCTAAGGGAGAATGCAGGTTCCCGTGTATTTTTCCTCTGTAACAATTCATATGGAAACCCTCAGAAACGCAAACATTGGCAGAGGTTTCTGCAGCCAGACAGAGTCACCTCTTCACTCTGCTCATTAGCAAAGAGGGGAGTCCCTGCCAGGGGCACCCACATCAACCTGGAGCGAGGAAGGACGCAGCGCGGTCAGAGAGCAGCAGGGCTGGAGCCATCCCAGCCAGCCAAGCCCCTTTCTTATGCTGTGTGGGGAGGATTTACCTGTTCTCACTTTCATCTGCTCCTCTCCCCCCAGAGATGATCCGCTCTGCCACCCCCTTCCCTCTGGTCAGCCTCTTCTTCATGTTCATCGGCTTCATCCTGAGCAACATTGGCCACATTCGGCCTCACAGGACCATCCTCGCCTTCGTCTCGGGGATATTCTTCATCCTATCGGGTGAGTTTTTCCAGCCAGGTTCTCTCTTCAAAATCCTCAAGCATGGAGCATGTTTGCTTTTGTAGCTGCTGGTGCTCTCCCAACCCACTGTGGTGGCTCCTAGATGGGGCCATCACCTGCCGGGACCTCCAGCTCGACCCCGCAGCCTGCTCAGGTTTTGCAGGATGGAAAATCACCCAGTGCAAGACCATTGGTGGCAGTGACAAGGAAATGCAGGCGGAAGCACCCACCACCCGTACAGGAGCAGCTGCTGGGGAGAGGACACCTCTCACAGCATATCGGTCACAGGAGAGATCTGAAACTTCCAGCTGCTCAGATGGGATGTTTCTACATGAGACAAGTGAATGTTTGACTCATGGTGTTGTGCTAGTGCTAACGAATAGCTGTGACAGCCAAGCTTTGAAGCCAGCTCCCACCTGGAGCACGTGGACTTGCTTGAGCAGGTGACAGTTTGACTGAAACAAGAGAAGTGCCCTGGGTAAGCTCAGCAGCAAAGCAGCCTCTTTCCCCAGTTATTTCAAGCACGTTTCCACAATTTTACACTTTCACCCACAAGGCAGGTCTTAAAGGAAGGTGTTTCTTCAGCGGCTTCATCCCTAAAATGTTTCCCACTGTCCTCCTCCTTGGTTTCTCCCCAGGTCTGTCGCTGGTGGTGGGGCTGGTCCTCTACATATCCAGCATTAACGACGAGATGCTGAACAGGACCAAGGACTCAGAAACGTTCTTCAATTACAAATACGGCTGGTCGTTTGCCTTCTCTGCCATCTCGTTCCTTCTCACAGAGGTACCCGGTAGCTCTCACATCCCTGTGACGAGTGTATCCCATTCTTGGGGAGGGGGGGCATTGAGTCTGTGAGCAAAACGAGGGCTCAGACAGGGTTTAAGGCTAGGCTATGGGGACGACGCGTAGTATTTAGTATGGTGTGAGACACACAGTGGGGACAGACCCCAAGCCTGGAGCACTGATGGGGCATTTGCTCACAATTTGATGCCAAGCGTGGGTGCAGAGGAGGAGGAGAAGTGGTTGTGCCACGTCATTTACTGCAGGGACATGGAGCACAGGGCAGTGAAGTCACTGTCCTCAGGAGCCCTTGCGCATCAGCAGCAGAGCAAAGAAGAGAGATTCGTGTTTTTGTTCGGTTTGGTTGGCGGTGGGGCAGGCAGCTGTTGGCGTCAGGCCGTGTCTTTCTCCCCTGCAGAGCGCCGGGGTGATGTCTGTTTACCTGTTCATGAAGCGATACACGGCCGAGGACATTTACCGACCTCACCCCGGCTTCTACCGTCCCCGTCTGAGCAACTGCTCCGACTACTCGGGGCAGTTCTTGCACCCGGATGCGTGGGCACGGGGACGCAGCCCTTCGGATATCTCCAGCGAGGCGTCCCTGCAGATGAACAGTAACTACCCGGCTCTGCTCAAGTGCCCCGACTACGACCAGATGTCCTCGTCCCCGTGCTGAGCCCTTCGCGCCCGCCCGAGCGCCATCGGTCGCCACATCCTGACTCTGTTTGTCGTTTATTTTTTAGGCCACCGTTTCAGGACAATTCTCTATTTATAGGACCGTAAATATAACCAGAGAGATTGGTTATATAACCAATAATGTAACCTAGTGAATTGGGATATTTTCCTTTCTTTGCTTTTTTGGATTTTTTTCTTTTGTTTTTGTATTCTTCCCGCATAACTAAAGATCTCTCCAAAGTCCTCCTCGTTCAGCTCATCCCGCTGAGCAAACAGCAGTTCTGCCTGGGGGATAAATCCAGGGCTGGACTTGAGAGCAGAAAAAAGAACATAAAGTAGAACTAAGAAAAAAAAAAAAGTGGGTTTTTTTTTGTTTGTTTAGGTAGGCTGCAAAAGTTTGTGCATTTGATTGTGTCATTTAATTATAGATTTACTGGCGTAAGCGCCAGCAGGCATAGAAGATTTGTGTAAATCTGCAAGAAATAGCTCTCATTAGAAAAATATAATTTTGTCTTGATTCAATATTTGCTGATTGATATCTCTCACTGCTGGATATCACTTTTAACCAGGCTGTCATGGGAAATAGCCATCTTTTTCGACTGTACCTCAGCAGGCTTAGACACAAGCAGGTTGCTCTTTCTCTATGGCCACTTGCAAGACGTTGCTTAAATATCTCGTGTTAGGCTGAAGGCTCTGCAGCCCTGGGCTGTCGGAGTGGCTCGGGCACCCGCATTTCCTCCGTCCTCCCATAGACTGGAGGTCTGAAGAGCAACTGGAAGAATTTCAGTGCAGCATCAAGTGGAAAACTACCAAAAATATTCCCGTAGGAAACGTTAGACATAGGATTTGGGGGAAATTATGGCCAGAAGTGCAAGTTATTTCAGCGAAAGGTGAGATGTAGCTGAAGCCGATGGCACTAGTCTGCTGTAGCAAAGTAGTTGGCTTATCTTTCATTTTGGCGAGAAAACAGTATTTTAGCTGCTTCTTTTGTGTGTATATGAACCTTATTTTGAGGTTTTTCAATTTTAAAATTTCATATGATGCTTTGGCATTTTGATCTTTGACAGTTGCCAAGGTGAGAACATCCCTCTGCTTGAAAACGAGGAAAAGGCTGTGCTTCTTCATGAGCAAGCCATGAGTTTGTCCCCTCACAGGAGAAAGAGCTTTGTCCAAACTTTATTTCTGTTCTGGTTATTTTAAACCTTTATGTAAAACAAAACCCTCCAGGGGTTCTTGGTATATTTGAGCTTGTTTTGTCTTACTGTGATTGAAACAAATAGAATATACGTACTTTTAACCTCATTTGTAGCATACCGTGTAATGAATGTTACGTCTCTTTGTTACTATTTCTTAATTTTTAATTATGTATTATTTATAAACTACTCCAAAGTAGGGTCCGAGTCCTGGCACAGCACCCCTGTTTGTATCGACTCTGACACCCATCCCGGGGGACCTCACTGCGAGCGGGTATATCCAGTCAACCCTTGAACAGGATTATTTCCTCTCGTCTCTTCAGATAAGCAAGTAACGTATATCTAGTGTCACTGACTCCTAATTTGCTGAGTTTTAAAACCAGGGCATCTTTTTGTAGACACAGTTGTATTTATTTTTTTTTTGTACTACCCTCAAGCGTCTGTTTTCACATTCTAAAACCCAGTTTTTAAGTGCTACGTGACTGGTTCGCTGCTGGGAAGGTTCAAGCATTAAAGCACAACCCAGTCCCACCATCCAGCAACAAAACCTGCTGGTCCTCATCTGTTCACCCCATCCGTTTTCTGGTGGCATCTCTATTTTCGGTGTGAATTAGGCTCCAAGAAAGCGCTGGAGTTCACAGGCGATGATCTTGTTTTGCAGAGCCCCATCTAGCTTGCTGGGCTCCATAGTAGTGGTTTCTAGGGGCTCAGAGGCAGTTGCCTTTGCATCTTCCCCTTGACAGAACATTTATATTCTCAGTCTTTCTTGGAGGGGAGACCTCTGGGATCACCACAATCTCTGAGCACAAGGGCTGTCCCACACGGCCACGGTGCCCCACACTAGGGAATTGTTTAGGGTGGTTAATTCTGTGCAGCACCGTGAGACATCCCTGTCCCTGAGTGGCATTTTCCTTTGTGCCCATTAAATGCAGAATTATTCATTTTATATATTAAAATGTCTGCTTACATAAGCAGGAGACGTGAAAAAAGCTTCATGCCTTCCTCAAGACCCCAGAAGGTTTAGCAACGTCTGGGGGCAAATTAGAAAAGTAATTATTTGAAATCATTGGAGAGATTGTCGTCATATGGCTGCATTTGTGATCCTGGGAGTTCGCACGTTCACCCAGTGAGCACAAGTGCTTTGTAAGTGCAGGACTGCCAGAGGAAATCTGTCAAAACCAGCGTTTGCTGTTGGTTTAGTAAATGTTTGTTTAGGGCAGGAATATGCGGTGCTTGGTAAAGCCTGGGGAGCGGCGGCTGCTCTGCCGGGTGGTGTTGCTGTCCCTCTCACAGCGCCCAGCGTGGTTCGTTGTGGGCCTTTAAATGCAGGTATCACACCTTGGCTGGCTGCAGGGAAACTTCTCTGGAGCCTCTGATCAGCGAGGCGGTGGGCGAGCTGCAGAGCCCAGCCACCCTCCGAGGTCCTCCTGCCCCGAGCATCATCATGTAGCTTATGTTCTCCAGAGCAATAAACGCTCAGCAAATTAGTGTAGTACCCCCTTAGGGCACCTGCTTCTCATTTAAACACCTCTCCTAGCCCTCTGGCATGGTTTCACCCCACCTTAACCTCTGTTATGCTACATCCCTCACCCTGCATAACGCCCTGTGTTTGCCTCGTTCGATCTCTCTCCCACCCCCGTGTCAGTGCCTGCCCCGTGCCGCGTCCTTTCTGTGTCTGTCACTTGGGTTGCAATAAATGAAAAGTGGAGTTTGAAGGTAAACTAAATATTAGTTTAAACTAAACTCAAACTGAAACAATTACATTAGAGGTTTAATCCCTATGAGAGTGAAGCCCTAAGACTCGTCACCTGTGTTGCTGATGGGACAAGTCAAGCCTGCAGGAAAGTAATTGCTCGTCTGATGGCGCACAGAAAATTGTTTGGGCTTAGGAGCAAAAAAAAAAATCTCTTGTTTTGAATGAATGACTAACTGGTGTCAGACGCTTTGTGCATGCAGCTGTGCCTTCCTGAACTCCTGGGAGCCACCCTCCTGCTCTGTGTTTGAGATTTTTTTTTTAATTTAGATCCCCTTTCTGTAAGCCTAGGGATGCATTTTGTGGCTTGTTTTTTCCCTCGC